CCTCTTAATGCCGCTTAAGTGTTTATATTAGGAGCAAGCCAGTCCTAAACCTCTTCTCTAACTAGATGCAAAAGCCTTCTGAATTTTGCTGACGAAACGCTCTCTACAAAAAGCTAGAAACTACTTAAAGAAAATTATTCTATGTCATTCCATGTAGCTGCGTGTTAGATATCTCTTTCCTAAAGGTATAAAACTGATTAAAGGTGGTGTGGGCTGAAACCATATAGAATACTGCTACTTTTGGATGCACTTTAAATATAATACTTTTGAGAGATAAACTGGGCTCTATTTCTTACATTTACAAATAATTGTACATTTACAAATTACATTTACAAATAATAATCTTACAAATAATTGCAGAACTATCACCTTCAATGATGTATGAATGAACTATTTAGGATATTTTGAAATCATACCAGAAACCTATCACTTCCCAGAGGAGTTAATGGAACACCATTTATGAATGTTTATTATAGCATAATCTTTACTAACCCTATTGATTTCTTAATCTTTGTTACTATAACCAAGGAACTAATTCGAATTGGTTTCAATCTCCTAAATGGGAAATCTCACTTCTAACAAGGCTGTTCCATAGAAAAATCTCAATGCTTATAGTTCCAGATATGATAGGTCACTATTCCCAATATTAAACACTCATTAGAGGGGTGGCATACTTCATTCATATATCATTGAAGGTGGTTCTGCAATTCAGAAGAAGAAGAGGAGGAGATTGGATTTATACCCTGCCCTTCACTACCTGAAGGAGTCTCAGAGAGACTTACAATCTCTTTTCCCTTCCCCTCCCCACAACAGACACCCTGTGAGGTAGATGGGGCTGAGAGAGCTCTTTCAAGGACTGCTCTTGAGAGAACAGCTCTGAGAGAATTTATGACTGACCCAAGGTCACTCCATCAGCTGCATGTGGAGGAGTGGGGAATCAAACCTGGTTCTCCCAGATTAGAGTCCACGCTCCTAACCACTACACCAAACTGGCTTCAGTAAACATAAGAAATAGAGTCCAGTTTATCTCTTAACAGTTTTATATTTAAAGTGCATCCAAAAGTAGAAGTATTCTACTTTCTCCATGGTCAGAGACAGAGGGTGGCGCTTGGTGAGAGGGTCTCCTCACAATACCCACTTGAATGCGGAGTGCCGCAAGGGGCAATCCTCTTGCCAATGTTATTTAACATCTACATGGGTTCCCTCGCCCAGTTAGCCAGGAGTTATGGGCTGGGTTGCCATCAATATGAGGATGACACCCAACTCTATCTGTTAATGAATGGTCATCCATCTTTTGCCCCTGACATTCGGGCTGGGGCTTTGGTGGCTGTGGCTGGTTGGTTGCGGCAGAGCCGGTTGAAGCTAAATCCATCAAAGACAGAGGTCCTGTACCTGGGTCGGGTGTCTGTGGATATCAGACTCCCCACACTGGAAGGGACGCCTTTGGTGCTGACCCAGAAAGTGAGGCGCCTGGGAGTAACACTGGATGCCTCTCTTCCTATGGAGGCCCAGGTTACAGCAGTTGCCATATCTGCATTTTTCCATTTTAGGCAGTTAAGGCTGCTGAGACCATATCTCTCCCCCCAGGACTTAGCTACAGCGATCCACACAATGGTCACTTTCCAGGCTTGATTACTGCAACTCGCTCTATGTAGGCTTACCCTTGAGGCTGACCCGGAAACTACAGCTGGTGCAAAATGCAGCAGCGCGCCTGCTGACATTGATGCCTATGCAGGCTCACATCTGGCAGGTGCTCCGCCAACTGCACTGGTTGCTAGTTGACTTCTGGATTCGCTGCAAGGTGCTGGTAATCACCTTTAAAGCCTTATACGGTCTGGGACCCACATATCTGAGGGACTGCCTCTTCCCATACACGCTCCGAAGAGAGTTACGCTCTATGGACCAACTTCTCCTGGTTGTCCCTGGCTCAAAGGACGTCCATCTTGCCTCAACCAGGGCCAAGGCCTTTTCCGCCCTGGCCCCTGCCTGGTGGAACATGCTCCCAGTCGAGATTAGGGCCCTGCGGGATCTTCTTTAATTCCGCAGGGCCTGTTAAGATGGAGGTGTTCCACCAGGCCTTCGGCTGAGGCAGCAGACGTCTCTATATGGCCTCCCTGAGGTGGTTGTCACCCACCCACCTATCAACCCAAATAATATGTCAGGGAACCCCCACAGCCAGCTGATTTGTTAGAAGTGTGACTGTATTTTAATGTATTATTTTCAAATTGTTTAATTTTAATTGTATTTATTGTCTGTTTATGATGTTACCCGCTCTGAGCCCGCTCATGGGATGGGCAGGCTATAAATACAAATAATAAATAAATAAATAAGAGGAGGGGGAGGTTGGATTTATACCCCACCCTTCACTTGGAGTCTCAGAGCGGCTTACTCCTTCCCCTTCCCCTCCCCACAACAGACGCCCTGTAAGGTAAGTGGGGCTGAGAGAGCTCTTTCCAGAACTCTCCTTGAGAGAACAGCTCTGACAGAACTATGGCTTGCCCAAGGTCATCCAGCCAGGTGCAAGTGGAGGAATGGGGAATCAAACCTGGTTCTCCCAGATTAGAGTCTGTCCATTTAACCACTACGCCAAACTGGCTCTCCCAGGACTGGATTGCTCCCAATGGAAATACTGGATTATAACAAGAGGCTGATAACCTTGAAGACAGGAATACTCCTGAGGAAGACTTTGACAAAACGAGCTTACATCCGGGTGCTCATAGTAACATCATGAGGATGGACTTCTCTTTGTAACATTATAAATAATGTAATGAGGATGTAACATCATAAGGATGGACTTCTCTTTGTAATATTATAAGGATGTACTTCTCTATAATGTGACATAAGATTTATATATTGATTGTAAAATGTTTTACTAAATGTGTTAGCCAGCATATCACACTGTTTGTATTTTCTATAATAGAAACTGTGATTTCGGGTTGTTCTTTCTGCTACTTGAAGACTGCCAGTGAGGGGGAACTCACCACCTTACTGTAATCCCCCCCCCAATATCCAACCAGAACCTTTCTGCCTGTAATTTAAGCCTATTATTGTGAGTCCTATCCCCTGATGCCAACAGGAAGAACTCCCAGCCCTCCTCTAAGTGACAGCCTTTCAAATACGTAAAGAGAGCTGTCATGTCCCAGATGGGCAAACATGTTAGTGTGCAGAAACAAAATAAAGCAGGAATCCAGTGGTACCTCAGAAGACTAATGGAATTTATTTCAGGATAACCTTAGTAGTCATGGGATAAGAGAACACAGACGTTTGTGGATTGGTACCAGACTAAACGGAGCTGCAGTGGCTCAAGTGGTTGAGACGCTGAACTGCAGGCTGTGGAAGGTCGGTAGTTCAGCAGTTCGAGACCCGAGTGTGCCGCATGATGGAGTGAGTTCCCGTCTCTAGTTCCCGCTCCTGCCAACCTAGCAGTTCGAAAGCAAGAAATTGCAAGTAGATAAATAGGTACCACTTCAGTGGTACCTGTGCACCTTGGTGTTTAGTCATGCCGGCCACATGACCACGGAAATGTCTTCGGACAGTGCTAGCTCTTCGGCTTTGAAATGGAGATGAGCACCGCAACCCTAGAGTCGGATTCGACTGCCTTTCGAGCAAGGGAACCTTTACCTTTACCAGACTAAACAGCAGGCTGCAGCAGGAAGGAATATGCAGACTCGATGGAGAGAGGTAAGCAGTGGGGTCTTCCAAGAAACTGTGCAAGGATCAATGCTGTTTCACCAATGTTTGGGCAAAACCAAAGGGTTTTTAGGGGGGAAGCCAGATGCACAGTATAATCCTAAAAGTGCTTTCTCAGAAATAAGTCCTGCTCCTGTCAGGGGCTTAACCAGAACATTTTGGTTGGTGGGGCAAGGGGAAATGGAGGGGGGGGGCAGCAGCAGCAGAAGAAACAGCTCCACCACGACCTCTAATCCTCCTCTAGTTTTTTTATTGGAGAGACTCGATTCCAGGCTGCTTTCTGTGTGTGTGTGTGTGGGGGGGAGCTCGACTCTCTCTCTCTTGCATTTTGCAATTTTATTTTATTTTTTGCAATTGTATTTTATGTTATTGCATTTTTAATAGCTATTTCTTTTTTGGCCTGGAAAAAAACCAGAGACTGAAGCTTCCCTGGCTGTGCCTGGGGTCAGTTTGGAACACCTGCACACATCTTACATAAAAAATATATATATATTGTTTTTTGGGGGGGTCCTAATTTTTTGGTCTGAGGGGCCAGTGCTCATCTGTGGGGGCGGTATTGTCCCCCCCCCCCAGTGGCTATGAGCCTGGCTCCTGTGTTCAATGTCTACAACCTTTTGTCCATTTACAAACAAGCACAGGGGGGCTTACTTCTGAGTAACCACGCACAAGATTTGGCTAGAGGAGTGATCGAGGTTTATAAATGCAGAGAAACTGGATGAAAAAAAACCCTGTTTCCCACACACCAGAATTCAGGGCCATCCAATGAAACTGACGGGCATCACTTTCAGGGCAGACAAAAGGAAGCTTGTTGTCATCCAATCCATAATTATCATATGCAATTCCCCGCCTGAGTTTGTTTTTCTGGTTTGTTTTTTTTAAAGCACCTTTTGGTCAGTAGTGGGGAAGATCATCTTTGTGATGACTGCCACTGACTTGGGTGACTTCAAAAGGCGGATTAGACAAATGAATGCTCTATGGCTATTAGTCACCATGACACGAAAATGAAGCCTCCAGATTCAAAAGCAGTACACCTCTAAATTGCAGACGCGTTCCTGTCCTGCTTGTAGGTTTCTCATAAATCTGTCCGGCCACTTTCGGAAACAGGATGCTCCTTTAGATGGACCCCGGCCGGGTGTGCGGGAAGAGCACATGAGACCTTTCCAGACCTGCCGGAGAACTCCACGCTCCCCTACTTGGCTCTCTCCCGGCCAGGCAGGCACAAACTTCTCCTTGGGGCGTGGCGCAAACTGAGGGAGTAAATATCAACAACGGCAATTAAAGGAAGACTCTCTGGAGATGCAGGGAGGCGCCAGCGTCTGGAGGCGGCGCTCGTCCGCTTCTTTCCCCCCCAACTTGCCCGTGTAGTTCAATAGCCTAATTAACAAGCCGCCGGCCCCTTCAGAGGAGGGTGACGGAGGAAAAGCCGCTGAAGACGCACCGCAGTAAGCTTCTGTTCAACTGCTGGCAGTTTCTCCTCCTCCCTTCATGCTCGAGCAGCGGCTGCATTCTGAGCTCACTAAAGTTCATCCTCTCCCCTGCGCCTGGTCTTTTTTTTTTTCCTCCTTCCAAAGAGCTAGCACGTCTGGAGTGACCCATAAGCAGTGCAAAGCTCTTGAGTCGAGGTAAGTCCTCTCTCTGCCAGCCTCTTTTTTTGCAGATTAGAAAGCAATTCGCATCAGGGTGCTGAAGGATACTCTGCAGCAGGCTTGCCTCTTTGGGTATAAAAAGCTGAGGCGGGGGAGTGAGTCCTGGGTTTCCCCTTTTCCCTTCCCTATAATAAAGTTGAAGGGGGAAATCCTTCTCGGTTGGTTGTGTGCGCGCGCGGCGAGATCGCAACGAGGGCTCGATGGAGCGTTCCCGCCGTCGCTCACACTTTGCAACAAACTCTGTATGAGGTGCATGCGAGGAGGGGGCCGTTTACAATGCCCAAGTTCAAACCGTGCTCTCCGCACTGATCGCGACACGCTTCTGTTAGTCTGCATTCCTTCCTGGCCGAAAGACTTGCGGCTGCTCACCTTAGCTGCTGAGCGGCACTTTTATTTTATTACGTTTTACAGTCCCGCCTTCCCTCTATCGCGGTACTCTAAGCGAAGTGAGGGGTTCCTGGAAGGTCTCCCAGCCGACCTGTCCTTTAAGGTTATTGCATTATGTCTGCGGACAAGGTCTGGGAAACTTGTTTATAAGCGGAGGACCTTAAATATTCTGGTGATCGAAGGGGAGGGGGGAATTGTATTGGGAAGGGAATAGGGAGTCCAGTTTACCCGTGACTATTGACTCTGAGGATGGCCAAGAAAGAAAGAGGGTCTCCCTTGGATTTGTTAATCCAGCCCCTTTTGAGAGACCTGTTTCTCGCCTGGTCTTTGCCCCAGAACATGTTTTCAACCTAGCAAAGCGTTCCTATTCCTAAACATATGCAAGAGCATCCCCCACCCCTTCCCAGTGAGAAACCACACTGCTGGCAGCCTCCTCCCCTGTGGCTGAGGTAGACTTAAAAAACCCAAAAACCTGAGGGGGAGGGGACAGACCAGCTGGGCAAACTGAAGCCTCCGCACATCTTGTTTTAGCTCTGAAGCATGAGACACTCTCCTCTTCCTGGACTCTGACTGGTGTGTCTGCTGTGGCTGTATACTTGGCTGCCTCACACCACTCTTTATGGCAGTGGGGTAATGAGGGGAGTCCAGGCCTTGGTTGCATGCCAGGGTAGCAGCAGGGATAAGACTGGTGCTGAAACCCTGAGGAGCTGTTCTCGGTTGTCTCTGGAGAACTGGATGAGGTTGCCTGAGGGGCAACCTCCGGTTCCCTTTTCTCCTCAGTGTGTGCCCTTGTGGGGGTTACATTTTTGCCCCAGAATGCCGCTGGCTGTCCTGGTCAGGTACTGCTGCTCCTCACCTGACTGGAGGCCTTGTGGCATCTCTCACATGTTCAAAGCATTTTAGATACTTGTATGTTTGCCTTTTGTTCCCACCCTCTCCCAAAGGCTCACAGTAGGTTCAGATAAGAACATGAGCAAGCACTGCCTGGATGGATCAGGCCAAAGGTCTGTCTAGTCCAGGGTTCGCTTTGCAGCAGCAGATCTGAATACTTCTGGGAAGTTCTCAAACAGCATGTGTGGGTAATAGTTTCCCCCTCTGGTCAGCCTCCCCAGTGATATGCTGCTTTTGAACATGGAAGTTTTATGTCCAGGATGTAGCACTAATTTTTCATGCTGCAAAGATAGGGACGCTGCAAGCGCTTCATGATGAAAACTCAGAGGCAAGAGATGGGACTGTACATGATATCCAGCAGAGGAAAAAAGGTTGGGGTTTCAACCCTCTGCTTGAGTTCCTTGTCCTTCACCGTATCTAGTCAGAGCAAATAAATCATGTAAATGTATACAAACTGCAGGATTCTGCTTTTCTTGGCAGACTTATGATTTTACTGAGTGCAAGGCATACATGTGGGCCTTGCCTACACCTGTGCAAAAACGCAGCCTCCTCCCCTCTGTCTGCTTAGTGTCCCCCTTCGTGCTTTGGAGAGACTTGTTCCGCAGGGAGGACAGAGAGAAATGTACTTTGGAGCCACTGCCAAAGGCTGTGCTGAATCCATACAAGCATTCGATCCAGCATACCCAGGGAAGCAGTAAACTCTTAATCCTGCTGCAATTATGCATCAAGCCAGCGTTTGTGGTTGGGCTGCTGTAAACTCAATCTCTCTCTTCTTTCCTTTCCCCTGCTTCCAACCAGATGAGGTGTTAACCGTTTGCTCTCAGCTAGTTGGAGATATTTGTAGAGTGCTTATACTTCATAAGGGGAGTGTAATGCTCCACACGTAATCTCTGCTTCCATTTTTAAGAAAGGACCCAAGTTTCTAGCCCTCTTGGTTACTAAAAGGGTCCTTTTTCCTGAGCCTTCTGTGGTTCCTTATGCCTTACTTGGGGACAAACAGGATAAATCTGGCACATTCAGCAAACAGCTTGTAATTGCCTAGTTACAGAATTTTGTGGTATAAAACTAGGATCGCATTGGAGAATGCTATCTTCTTTAGTGCAAGAATGTGTGTGTTCAGAAATTTGGCAGTGTGAGGTCCTAAGGGAACTGAGAAGGGGGAGAGTCACATTATGATTCAGTATGGAAAAGACGAGGATATTTAATGTGGTGGTGGGGAGTGCCATGAAGTCGCAGCCAATTTTATGAAGACCCTGTAAGGTTTCCAAGGCAAGAGACTAACAGAGGTGGTTTGCCATTACCTGCTTCCACGTATCCTGCTTAACTTCCGAGGTCTGACAAGATCTGGCTAGCCTCGGACAATCCAGGGGGATAAAATAAGAGTTTAAAAGTGCCTCTGGGGTCATTAGCTCCAGGTAATCTTAATTAAATAGATCTGGGGGGGGGATACAATAAGAGTTTAAAAGTGCCTCTGGGGTCATTAGCCATGACATTCAAAGGCAGGAGCAGAGTTATTTCTTACTCAGCAGTTGTGTGAAATACTGCCTGCATATTTCCAGTCATATATCAAAGGACTAGTAACTTTTTTTAAAATGAAAAATTGAATATTCAGAAAAAAGGTTGTAGGATATCTACTGGGGAGAGGTTGTAGGTCCTTATAGTCCCCCCCCATACGTATCTGCAGACTTGAACTTACTGTTCAGGCTTATGAATCTTTTTCTTTGTGTTTAGAGTGGTAAGTGGCATGGATCCTGTTGTGTCCTCAATCCATAATCCCTCTTTCTATCTCATATCTTGAGCATTTGTGATTATTATTATTTTTTTTTGGAGGAAGTATCTATTTCCTGCTTCCTTCTCCCTCCTCCAACAAATACCACGTTTGGAGTTTTGGAACAGAGAATGTGTCACAATTTCACCAGTCTTTTCCTTTCGTCATAGATTCCCCTTCTTCCATGCACGTTCTGTCTCTCACAATTTCTGTCTCAGGTTAATTGATGACTGTATTCTCAATGCCAGGGTGATTCAAGCTTCTAGGCTGCACACCAGTAGATGTTACCATTTTGTAGGTGGGAAACAACTGCTTTTATTGTTATAAAGGCTGTAGCCTTTATATATGTTTGAAACACCTGGTATGCATTAACTTGTGATCCTTATCATACCCTTGTGAAGTTAGGCTGGTATTATTCCTATACTGCGAATGGGGGCTGAAACTAAGATCAGGCCACCAAGTGAGTTTGTGGCTGAGATGAGATTTGAATTTTTAATCTCAGTCTTCTACAGTGTAGTCCTAAACAGAGTTTCACCCTTCTAAGCCTATGGACATAAGTGGGTTTAGAAGAATGTAACTCTGTTTAGGAGTACCCTGTCAGCCACAATGCATTGCCAGCATTATCTGAACAGGGTGTTGTTGGATGAGCGTCCTAGGGGTCATAGTACAGGTGTGCGGCTTTCGAATATTTTAAAAATGTTGTCATCCTTAGGATTTCAAACCCCGTGACCTATTGAGATTGCCTAGCGAGACACGTACAGGGGCCGACTGGGAAGTTAAAATTGCCCAGGAGCAAGCTGAGACTGTGGCGCTACAAGCCAGAGTTGAGGGGACTACTCAGTTCAGACCCAGCCAGTGGCACCAACCATGGATGTCGGCTCACCCACTACCACCTTTGGCACTAGCCAGGTGTGAGCTCTGCAATGCTACAGTTTTTCGGGTTTTTTTTTAAATTTGAAAGAGGAAAGATTGGCTGCAGAAAACTCACAGAACAGGTGAAGAACCCATTGTGACCATCCAAGCACTCTTCTGGTCCGCACCCTCAGCTCCAGCGGTGCTTCAGCACTGGGTTTCCCCCAGTCTCTTACTGGTGCTACCTAACAGCTAGGCGGGGAGAACCTAGGGGTGGTCTCTTATTGGGAAGACAAAGGTGCTATCCAGGGAAGAAAGGAAACCCCTATAGCACCTTGGCCCTTTCCCCCTCCCAGCCTGTCTTTCCTCCAACATACAATGTACAAAGTTCATGGTTGGCTTAGGTCCTTTAGCCCTTGCCAAGAAGGATATTCCCACCCCCCAGCAAAAAAAAGTATACTCTGTGAGCAGACAACAACAACGTGCTTGCTAGGGTGTCAGCTCAGCATCCTCTCCCCTGGGAGGGTTTGCAGAGCTGCATACCTTCCAGTCCAACCACAAAGTGTATGAATAAGGCCTGTGGTAATGAACTTCCTGCATTGTTCTCCCCCCCCCCTTCTCTCCTGCATGCTTCCTGGTGGTGAGAGGAAAGCATGTGGCCTGCGGCACCAGTGTCTGGCATGGGCAATCGATCAGTTCTCTGGGGTTCTCCCTTCCCTCTTGCAGCAATGAACCCCTCCAACTCTCCCCATAAGCCTTTTCTTTTAACTGTTCAAGGCAGTATCTGAAGAAGTGAGCAGTGACTCACGAAAGCTCGTACCCTGCCACAAATGTTGGTATGCTTTAAGGTGCTACTGGACTCTCATTCTTTTCTACTGCCCAAGGCAAGGATACCTCTGGGTTTCTGCTTTTAAATTCTTGCTTCTGAATCTGCCTGCCTGTGTGTGCAGTGTCATGAAATGCCCTTCCCTCTTTCAAGCCTTCTCTGACTTGGCCCTACTGCTCCAAAGGCCAACCCGCTGCTATTAACACTTCCCCATCCTTAACCTTCAGTCTTCATGCCATGACCTGATTGGGG